TTTTTAATACAGGACAAGACCCTGCTAGCTTTGTTTACAGCAGCCTGGCACTGCAAACTACCTTTCAGTTTGTGGTCTACAATGACCCCCAAATCCTTCTCCATTTCTGACTTCCCCAGCGGCATACCCATAATTGTATAACCCATTTGTTTATTTTTAATTCCAAAGTGCATTACTTTGCATTTATCGACATTAAACCTCATCTGCCACATTAATGCCCACTCCCCTATTTTATCCAGATCCTCCTGTAATGTTATAGTGTCTAAGTCCGTGTCTATTACCCTCCCTATTTTGGTGTCATCCGCAAACATGGAAATATCGCTGTTAACACCCTCCCCGATGTCATTAATAAATAAGTTGAACAATATGGGACCCAGCACAGAACCCTGAGGCACACCGCTCATTACACTAGCCCAGTCTGAAAAGGTGCCATTTTAATTATACTTTTAACGATTCTAATTTTCAACAATATTTAAATAATGGGACACCGCCATCTATATACCATTTTTGTGGGAGAGAAATAGAAGAGCAGACAAGCAGTACATGGATGTTTGAAGACATTAAACAGAGACAGATCTTTAAAGATAAGCAAACCATTATTGCTCTTTTTCACTAAAGCAGGTGATGCAGCTTTAATTCTTTTACTCTGTGGAATTTTATTTCAGGAATATTTCGCTGCACTCTGCACTTTGCTATAAAATAAGGTTGCAGAAGTGTATCCATAACCAAAGAGTGGGGAATAATTTTGAACCCCTATCAGGTTTCACAGCTGTCAGAAGCTCTGTTAGATAGTTTACTTAACTTCCTGTCTGGTAAAACTGCCATCACCAACACATTATGTGACTGGAAATCTCTGTAACAACAATACAGAGGCAAAAATGCTGTTTACGTTAAGTAGGGGAATGCTAAAAGCCCTGTCAGTTTTTTTATTGGTGTTTGTTTGCCTGTTGCAGAGAGGGGAAAGCTCTCTAAAGAAGCAGTAAAGCCTAAATGGGGTTTGGTTCTTGCCCCATTATATTCAAAATTGAAAAAAAAAGTTTGGGTATAGATACACTTTAACCTCATGAATTTCCTCATTAACAGAAATATATGTTTTATTATGCTGATTTTTTGTAAGGCTATTTCACAAGGGGAACATACATTATATCTATACTTGATTACTGACCAACTGTGAAATACACTCTGGGGCATAGACACTGACTCTTGCTCTTTGTCTATGGGTTGACTACTGCATGAAGCTACTGTGCAGTTTTATGATATTCTAAAATACATGGCAAGAGGGGCAATGGTATAACTTCCTTGAAACTTAGCTGACCTCAGGCTTTCGTTTTTCAATAGTTTCACATAATATAAAAAGCACAAGTAGAGATCTGTCCCCTCCCCTCCAGTTTTGCTTGCAACTGTTTCCTTGCATGTAACTGATAAAGAACAGCGTTGAAGACATATGACCTTGATTGCTTGGAAAGCAAGTGATTAAAGTGCAGTGGGTTAGAGACCCTGTCAGATTCTAACACAGATGCATTGGACTTGCACTCTATTGCCTCTCATCATCATGGAGAATAGAAAAGATGTGGGAAAAGACACATGAAATCTATGTATGATCAGTGTGTACACACACATAAAATGTATGTATGTATGTATGTATGTATAGTTTGTA